TCCCTCCTATCCTTCCTTTTCTTTCTCCTCCCTTTTTTACCTCCTTCCTATTCTCCTTTTTGTATCCTTCCTCTCCTTGTCTTCTGTCATCCATCCTCTTATCCTGCATTCTCTATTCTTTTCCTACTTTGTTGTACCACCTCTCCCTCTTTCTTCTCCTTTCCCTTCACCTCCTCACCTCTATGCTGCGTTCATAACAGCCTCTTTCTATTAATCCTTCCAACTCTTCTCTTCTCTTATTATTTTGCTCAACTCCTGCCTCCTTAATTCTTTCTCCTTCCCTCCTTAAATTTGTTTGTATCCACTCTCTCTGTTTCTATTTGTCCACCCTGCAACACATGTGACAGAGAGTATAACTTGAAATAGATTTCTTCACTTTCAAAATATATGACACTCATCCAAACAACAACTAACCAACAACTTTAAAGCTTTCATTATATTTTAGGACTCTTTTAAATTTGTGTGGCCACTTCTTTACCATCTGCTTCGACTTCACTTAGCAATTTTATTAGTTTCCCCGAAAAATGTAAGTTGCTTATTCAAACTCCTTTTAGGTCACTGGGCTTCCTCCCTCCCAAAGCATCCACTGCTCCCTGATAGAGGGGAGGGGGGGGGTTCAAATGCAGAGACAAATTTCCCCCTTACCGGGATGAGTATAGTATAATAAAAAAACAAAAACCTGAATGATAACGTCAAGCAGGACACATTTAGCTGGCCTGAGCATCAGCTGGAGAGATCAGGCCGGCTTTGGAGGGAAACACAGACAGCTGATCTGACAGCTCGACGGAGCGAGGCCTCTCGCACAAAGAGCCGACATTGACTATGAAAGGAAGACCGTTGGAGAGGGAGAGAAGATGAAAGTAGAGAAACAAGAGAGGAGAAGAAAAAGGAGGCAGTGGCCTCTCCTCAAATCTCCCCGAATATGATCAGGATGAAACTCAGGAATCACTCATTTTACATCCAAACACTGCAGGTTGTGAAGTGGAGATTTGAAGTTTGAAGCTAAAGATAGAGGTTGTTTAATGCATTTCAAAAGTTATATTTGAGTTTTAATCCTGTGAGAGAGTCCACAGCTCACTAAGTGACTTGACAGCCACAGCAGCCCTTTCTGACATGTTGACATCACCACAATGGACTCTGACTTCATTGTTTTAATCAAACATGTTTTCATGAGTAATGTGATGAAACAAATCATTCACATCTCAACCATAACAGAGAATGAAATCGTGTTTCTCTCAGGCCCAAAGACATCAAGAGCAAAGCTGGGACATCAGGGTAACCAACTGTCCAAAACAGAAAATAAGAATATATACAAAATCCTCATTCTACAAGCCAGCTTTAGTACAAGATCCACTATTTACAGGTAGTCAACTTGGACAGTAAAAAACGGCATCATATAGATCTAAAATCCCCGTACCATAATGAGACCACAACAACCGCAAATAATAAATAAGTTGCTTTGGTGAAAGTGGCCAACTTTCTCCCCTCAGCATGATAAACATTCCTCTTCCTCTCTGGCCTTTTCTGTTCATCCACCCACTCCTCTATCCTCTCCCCCCCCCCCCCCGCTATTACCATAATAAAAGCCTGCGTCCCGACCCGCGCATGCATCACAGAAGGCCTCCACGCATCCTGACGAGGCCGACACCATCTGATCTCCAGGGAGCAGCGGCCGATGCAGCGTTTAAATAATAGAACCTCGAAGCCTTTGCATTTTTGAAGAAGTTTGTGAGCATTTAATTAAAAATATTGTAGCACTACTTTTAAAAGTCTGTGTCTCTACAGCATCATGTATCGTTAAACATTATTATCTTATCTTTCATATCACAGTCCAGATTAGCTGGGCTCCGACCAGAGAAGAGCTTTAACTCGTCAGTCAGTCGGCAGCCTGGACTCGAGTCATTACAGCAACACATTTTCTCTGCTTCCTCTCCACACGTGTTTTGTCTAACATGTGGCATGAGGAGTCCATGCTGTTTTTCTGTTTTCTGCCTCTCTCCCGCGCTCAGCAGCTCCTCTGTGTGTGCCGGTGTGAACATTCTGAGCTCATGAAAACACGATGAGCCTCATGTAACTTCTGTTGGATGCCTTAGTGCGTCGGGCCCTTGGAAGAGAGTGTGTCTTCAGACAGCTTCCTGATACTGGCCGAGGCAGTCGGAGGGTTCTTCATATGCATTTTCACATGCAGGTATATGCAAGTCGCTGTCAGGGGGAACGGCCTCCGCTGTAATGTCTGACATCGCCTACTATGGCCCGTATTCTTAAAGCCATCAAAAGTTAAGATGAGAACACAAGGACTTTTGACACACAGAAGAAAAAGTGGATTATTAACAATACATCAACTTAATCAAATATGCACTGAGGCAGATCTACCTCAAGTGCTGCATTTAAAGACCATAAGAATTTTTTTAAATTTATTTTATTGGCCATAGTGCAGTGTAAGTTGTCGGTCAGAATGTATGTAGTTGTTGCTGTTCTGATGTCGCTGTTCGTTTCTCCAGTGTGCAGCCAGGAAACAGTCCTGACTCTGGAGCGATGGCCAGGCCCCTTCATAGTGAGGGAGTAGCAGTGTGACTGGCAGTAGCAGACCGTAGACAGCTGAACCTGGTCCTGGATGTAGAATGAGCCACTCGCAGCACAACAGGCCAGATGTAGTGTTTGAATCATTATAAGCTGTAGACCGGCTCTGTTTTAAGGTCAGCTTTGAAATGATTACTGTACTTACTGTTGTTAGAAATAACTTGATTACTGCTTTTATTATGTTAAGCAAAGTACCTTATCAACAGCATATGGAAGTTTCTCATTTTCATACTGAGAACATATTGATCATGTTTCTCTTCTATGAGCCATTTAGAATTCCACACTGTTTTGGTACATTTATAATAAGGGCTGCGCAGTTATGGCCAACATGATAATCATTAGTGTTTTACTTTATTTCTTTTATCACACTTTCACATTTAATGAAACCGAGCACTGCTTTCACTACCATGTTGTGTGACATTCCTGCTGATGTACAAATATTTCCTTCAAAATAAGACGATCGATATTCACAGTACATCTTCTAGAAGCAAAGTTAAACTCTACCAAAACATTTTACATTACATTCCTGCTAATTAACAAATGTTTGTATCAAAATAAGACTTAAGATGAGGTCCTTCTTCACCTGAATTCACTGCATTTTAGTGTTACTCCTAGAATATACAGTATCTTAGCTTCTTTGCCCTGCTGGTAACCCAGCCTTGCAAGTGTCAGCAAATGTTCTGCTCGCTTTATTCTCTGCTTTGTGTCGTCTCTGTCAGCTCACAAAAGTACAGCTTCAGAATGAGATCAACTTCTTCTTTCTCACATGTGTGGCTGTGTTTTTGCCTTTGATTTGTGTCCGTCGCGCTGCTTCAAACTTCTCCGCCAGCGCATATCTGAAGTATATCTCCCTCAGAGAGCTGCATGGTAATTGTAAATGTATCTTCATTTCTACGTTTCCAACAGAGCACGAGTTTGCTGTCAAAATGAATCACCTATAACTTTGAGTTTCTCTACATCCGTCTTCTCTGACCTTTGCTCCACCCCTCATCTTCATTTACCTTCCCCATCTGCTAACACACACACACACAGCCACACGTGTGAACGTGTCAGCGCGTCATCACAGCGGCAGATGGCTTCCGCTTCCTGCTTCGGTACGCTGCTATGCACTCTGGGGTATTGAGTCTCCTGGGACCCAGAGTGTGCTAGCTTCAGCATGTGTGTTTAGAGCGAGATGGAAGGCCAGAGTGAAGCGTGCGTGTGAGTGTGTCTTGCTATTGTAGTCCTATTTGCAGTAATGAGCCCCCTGGGAAACCAAGTCTTCATCATTATTAGCCATTAGCGCGTTGACAGCCGGAGGTGCTATTAACAGGACTCGGCTAGCTGGCTTATCAGCCTCATCAGCACATCTGGTCTCGGCCTCGTTGATGGGTTTGGAGGCTGCAGGTCTGCTCACCACACTCGATAAATACATGTGATCAGCTGAACCTCTACAAACAAAACAGAATCTATACTGTAATGCATAACTCATGTGGATTGACACATTCATAAATAAAGTCGTATTATATTTCTCCTGTTACAGGCCTCAGATATATGTTAAGAAAGCAAATAATTCAATGTAACACTTTTTAATCCCGTTGAAATGAAAGAACCAGTTTGTGTCTTTTTGGGAGATTATTTAGCGCATTAGTTATTACATTCATAACGAGAATGTGAAGAAATCGGTTCAGTAGAAGTACCTGCAGCTGGGTCTCTGTACCCTTTTTAAAGAGCTAAATATTGAAACAATGCCTTAGTCTGTGTGTTGATGTTTCAGGACATCTTTGGAGAATGAATTCTGATTCTGCTTGACTTGAAATGGAAAGTATTGAAGATGATTCACCACTTTAAACAGCATCTTGTGCTCTGCTGTTTTCAGTCCACAGGAATTTAAATATTCATCCATTACGAAGGATTCATTGGAAGGTTTTACTATCCGAGGAAGTAAGGAAATACTGCGTTATGTAAATGTAAAAATGCAACAACAGTGAGCATCATGAAGTATCAGCTGTCGGTCACATGGACATTATTCAGTGGTGTCCCCTCAGCGTGGCTTGGTAGCTTGTCGGGTCCAGACGGACTCATTGAGCTGCTCAGATCTTATCAGCTGTTGGTGACGCTGTCTCCTGAGGGAGTTGTAGTTTTTAAGACCCATTAAGACTACAGCTGTGCTCTCTCATTTACCTCCGTTCGTAGTAAACAACTTGAGTGTGGTTGATGAGCGCATCTCTGTTTATATTTTTTTTAAACATTTCTCCTTAATGAAAGCTGAAAATGCAGAGCGATTGTTTTTACTTTTTGTATCTCCATTTGTAGATGACTTTCCACTTCCTGCACTCTCTTGTTTGTATGTGAATGAATGAATGAAATTGAATTATTCGCTGTCTAGACATGTGATGACCAGTGTTCTCCCTCTGTGGGGTTCCCATTCTTTCTCTCAGAACCTCCCATCGTCCAACAGTTGAAAAGAACCTTCAAATACTTCCAGGACTACAGACAGGTGAGTCAGACATCCTGACCGCCAAGTAAGCCGTGGAACAGTGAATTCAATTGAAATGTTGTGTAAAAATATGACATTTTAGAACTGTAATGATAATGTAACGGTACCTTCAGGGTCTGAAAAGTGAAACCATTGCAGAAGTGTCTTAAAGCTGCATTCTCTGTAATGGCCACCAGGGGGCGACTCCTCTGGTTGTATAGAAGTCTATGAGATAATAACTCTACTTCTCTCTTGATTTATTACCTCAGTAACACATTGGATCAGACTCGTTTCATTGCCAAGTACGTTTGCACATACAAGGAATTTGGCTTGGTGATTGGTGCATAACAGTAAACATAGTGCCATAGTGTAAGACACAATTTAGAAATAAGAATATGAAAATTTACAATGGAATATTCAAACTAACTAATTAAGAGCAAGTGTTAAGGTGAAGTAAAGGGCCTGTGGTTTAGAGGTTTAGAGGTCGTTCCCTAATCGGAAGAGCAACGGCTATCCCCGGATCCTCAGTCCACATGACAAAGTGTCCTTGACCAATATACTGATCCCCAGAATTGGTCCTGAAGGCCGTGCCGTTGGTGTGTGTGTATGTGTGTGTGTGTGTGTGTGTGTGTATGTGTGTATGTGCATAAGTATAGATCCTGATGGGTCCTTGCATGGCAGCATCTGCCATCAGTGTGTGCGTTAATGGGTGAATGATGACATGTAATGCTCAGAGCTTTGTATGGTCCAAAGATCAGAAAGGCGCTATGTAGGTGAGAGTCCATTGACCTTTTACTGAGCTCCACCCTCTCGTGCACTTCTGGTTGCAAGAAGCCAACGTGACAACGGCCAAAACGCCGGAGACGGTAACGTAACTCAAACACCACATGTGTTGGTGAGTGAAGATTAGTCCACAATCCTCCGTGGAGGAACAACCTCCTACTTAATCAGACACTCATCATATTGTAATTCATCCCATCATGCAGCTCAGAGTGATCAGTGACCGACAGCACGGAGCTCAACAGCTACCGGAGGTTGCGTTGACCTGCGTGGTGCGTTCAAGCTCTCCTCAGTGAGAATGGGTTTAGGCAAAGTTCAATTATAACGCTCATGATTTTTATGTTTTCACAGCAATATAAAATAGATTGGAGAGGGAACTAAGACTTGTGACTTCCTCACACGAGCTCTAAGCTGTGGTACATAATTAAAGCTACAGACTATGGGATGTCCACTTGTGATATACAGTCAGTGGGATTGAACTGTAAAGGCTTTTAAATGTGCCCACAATACAATAATAAATACACATTTTCCTCATTCATGGTGGAAATACTGTTTTATTAGTTTGCACATTATTTATTGTATTGTAAAATATATGCTATGTTATATGAATACATGAATAAACAAATGTAGAAAGCTAACGTTTATACAAGATAAACAGGATCACATTTATTATATATATTAACAACACAAGGTCTCTGCAGGAAAACCCAAAACCACAATATGAATCCCCTTCAGACTGATGGAGTTAGTTTCTCATTCAGTGCGAGTGTCTGCTGTTAGTGTGAGCTTCTACAGAAACGTCCTGCTCAAAGTATCACTACTATTCTGGTGAAAACTTGGTGTAAAAGCATGTCGGCATATCTCAGCTTCCTGTCTGGGTCTTTTCAGAGCGATAATATGAGCTGATTGATAAACAGAAAACATCTAGCGTCTCTCAGATGGATCTCCTCAGACTACCCGACTTCCTCATCGTACTCTACTATTGTTGAAGTGTTTGTAACCCCCTGCCACAAAGTCTGAGAGGACTACTCTATGTTTGAAGGGTTTTTCACGCTTTCACATTGTAGAAAGTCCTCTTTACAAATGGATGTTATTTTACTTTGGTCACAGAGTCAAAAGAACGCTGCGCAATGGTTCAACCACCAAATAACCATCTAAATAATTCATTTGATTACACACTTCTGAGCCGTACTTTAGGTTCATGGTTAATGTTGATTTATGAAGTCACAGTGTGACATGCTGTCTCTGTGTGTGTTGATGATGTCACGGTCAGATGATCATCGAGCCGACGAGCCCGAAGCTGCTGCCCGACCCCCTAAAGGAGCCGTACTACCAGCCTCCCTACACGCTGGTGCTGGAGCTCACCGATGTCCTGCTGCACCCGGAGTGGTCGGTACGTCCCTTTACCTCACTTTTCTTCATGGATGTGCAGAACTGTTGAACGCAAGATCTTGTGAAACGTGTTTGTGACCTGGAGGCTTCAAGTTTCCACATCTCACCTTTGGTTGAAGCATGCTGAGGCCTGAATGCTCTCTCCTACCTTGCTCTGCCGCAGTAGGTTAATGGTTTTATGGGGCAGGTGGAGGATACGAAGTGTATGTCTGAGGTGTGTCCCACCACCTGTCGACTTGTCTTGTTGTCTGCTGATACACACACACGCACAATGTACACCTACCTGACAGGTGTGCAGCAGCCGTAACTCGACACCTGCTGCCTGTTAAAACAGACAAACACTCAAGTAGCTTCACCTGCCCCACCTCTTGAACTTTCCTTACTGTTGCAGTAATTATTATTATGATCTATTTCTCCACACAAACACACTCTTTTTCCAGCTCTCTTCCCTCTTCCTTACAGCCCTGCCTGCACACACACTTCATGTCCTCTTTCCGGTCTGGTCTCATCCGGCATTCGTAGCTAAACCTACGAAAAATATTGTGCCGTAATATGTAGATATCCCACGAAATGATCCCGTACGTTATCCACGTAGTCATGAACGAAGATGTATAAAGACTGGGAGGGGAGGTGGATGGGTCCAGCGACCTTTCAGCCAGGAGACCGCTGTTAGTTCTCTGTGTGAAACGAGAAGTCAATGTTGATTTATTTGTCATGTGACTTGCTTAAGTATCACGACACTCCCATGGTTATTTCAACCCTAACGGCGATCTTTTCCTTACGAAGTAGTTTCCTGTGAGGACAGAAGTTTATTTTGAAACAACCGTACGCATGTAACAAGCTGAAATTGACACGTGTTGCAGGCTTATGGTAGGAAAATATCATACGAGCTGTTGTATGAGGATACGTTGCCTCTTTCCACTCACTCACTCACACACACACACAGACACACACACACACACACAGGTCCGGCAGCCCTCAGGTTGTTGATGTGTGTGTTTAACTGGAGCTGTGTCGGGAGTGGAAGAGGTTAGGACCTCTGAGCGTCTGAGCAGAACTAAAGAACTGTCCTGCTACTGCAGACGGACAGTTGTTGGTTCCAGAGACACCTTGAATACGGAGTTAGCCCTGTAACCGTTGCCATGGCGAACTTTCAGAATTATAGAATCTGTTCTGAGAGTTTGTTTTGGCACATCATGGACCTTTAAGAACTTCAATCTGTTCCAACCCAGTCTGAACGGCTGCTGAAGGAGAAACTGCACTACATGACTGCAATCACTGATTCATTAGTTATTAGCCAATCAGAGCTCTGCCTCCTCTGCCAATTCCACATGCTGGATCACTCAAGTGTAAAACCACAGCCATGGACTGGCTGAACCTGATTGGTGGATCACTTTCATCTGCTGTGTCTCAGAGCTTTTCCAGCAGCGTTTCTATTGTTTTATTTGACACATACATTTATTTTTTGTAACATCATTGCTGTAGTGATCTGTCACGATTATAATTTGCTGGAAAACTTCTGTTACCATATAGCTCATCAATAATAGCTTTCTTCATGCTTAGCTCTCATTAACTGTGTTGCATCCACCATCAGTATGTTTTATTCTGTTATGATGATGATCACAATACTGTGGTTTAGTTTGTGTGTGGTTTAATACTCACGGCCACAGTTAGTCTCAGGTTGAGAAGGAAGAGTGGATGGTTCCTGCATCTGTGTTTCCTCTGAGTCGTTGATTGTTTTGTTGTTTCAGTTGTCGACAGGTTGGCGGTTTAAGAAACGTCCGGGCATCGACTACCTGTTCCAGCATCTCGCACCGCTCTACGAGATCGTCATCTTCACTGCAGAGACTGGCATGGTGGGGCACACACACACACGTTTGCCTGTATACTTTAACAGTGTTTATCATTAAATAAGCCATCAGAGGTTTCATTGTCATGCCGAAGTGAGCTGACAGCTCTTTGGTCAGATCAGACCTGTTGTCTGCTGTGTGTATCAGCAGCTCATTCACTGTTTACTGTCATCAGCAGCAGAAAGCTGCCCGAGGAACCACACAGTTTTATTACACATGAGCAGTTTGATGATCTAATTACATGTTTTCATTTAGAAATGTTTGTAGATTGACTAAAGGTAAAGATCACTCATTGTCATTGGTTTAATCCAAAGAAGTAAATCTGTCACATACAGGTTTTTTACGTGGCATTATGGGTAATGGGTAGCAGTGTCACTTACACAATCCTGCTGCCTGGTTCTGCTCTGTTTTTTGAGATGTTAACAGAGTCGTTAGGCAGCTCTCTGCTCTGTTTGTGTGTGAAGTGTGTCGACTAACTTACAGTCGTCTGAAGGAGGCACACACAAACAGTTATTGTTAGGGCTGCAGATAATCAGATCTTCAATATCGATTTGACTCAAAACTAAACTTGTCTAATGAGTCAGTCAATGATTACAGATCAGCTGGTTCAATTGAATGAATATCACAATTTGACTGTGTGTGTGTGTGTGTGTGTGTGTGTGTGTGTGTGTGTGTGTGTGT